TAGGGGGGATGGTCACGCCGCAATCCCTTCTCCTCCATTCTCCTCTCGGGATCTTGGGCACACACACACACACACACACACACACACACACACACACACGCCCGGCGTGAGTTCTAAGCCACCGGGTCCGGGACGCAAACCGCGGTCGACTACGTGGGAGTCCAGTGACATAGCCATTACGCTAACTGCTGGTTCCCAGAAGGTTTTTTTTTAATCGTCAGAGGGCACACATGCTCACCAATGACAGGGATGAAGCACCCCTAGTGGGGCACGGTCACACCACAATCCCATCTCCATGTCTCCAACCCTGTGGATTTGGGGCACACGCACACGCACCTGGGTGCTTTTCAACTGCCAGGTCCAGAATCTCAACTGTGGTCGGCCACGTGAGATCCAGCTCCCCTACCTCCAGGCCACAGGCTGGCCCCACATGTGTGCCACTGCACACCTCTCCCTGGGCCCTCCAGAGGACTGCTGTCTTACCTTCCAGGACCCTGCGAGCAGCTGCCAGCAGCAAAGCCATCCCCAGGTCGGCAGTGGGGCTGGAGACAGCCAGCGGGGTGTTGACCACCTTCACCCCAAAGCTGGCAATGAGTGGCAGGTCTAGGTGGTCCACGCCCGCCCCTGAGCTGGCAACGACCTTCAGGCAGGGCAGGCTCTGGAGGAGCATCCGGTCCACAGCTGGCTTCCCGCCCCAGATGTATATCGCTTGGATCTTCGGCCCGAGCTGGGTCCTATCTTCCAAAAACTCCTTCACAGTAATGAGAGTGAAGTGTCTCTGCAGATCTGCGACGTGACCCTCACATACGCCACGTGGACCTTCAAGTGCAGACACCAGGACCCCAGGCAGCTCCTGACCCCCCATGACCTGCAGAGACACAGACACCATCTGCAGCCCAGCAGAGGTATAGGGGAACACCCACACCCTGCGGCCCCCAACTAAGTGAGGGCATCAGGGGAGCATCCCACCCTTGCTGCCCCCCCAACCCAGCGAGGGCGTCAGGGGAGCACCCACGCCCTGCGGCCCCCAAGTCCCTAACCTCGTCCTTCCCTCCATAAGCTCCCACAACCCCAGGGCTCTGGGCACTGCGATGCCCCTGACCCCATCCTGCCAACTCCACCCCACTTTGCCTGGGCCTTATTTCTGCCCTCCACCCCACAGCGTGGCAGCTCTGCATCTCCTCTTGGCAGTCACATTCGTGTCACCGCTGGACCGTGGGCCCAGATCCACCAGAAGGGACGGAAGGTTACCTCTGACTGAGGTGCGACCTCAGCTTCTGTCCCTAGACCCCTCGTGTCGCTCTGCTCTGCCCCTGCCTGCACCCCACTTTACCTCTCTGCTCCCCCCACTCCATCTGTCTCTGTTTCTCTCTATCTCTGTCCACATGTCTTTGTTCCTCCCTCTCCCCATTTGTCTCTCCCTCCCTCTCTGTGTTCCTCTCTCCCCATCTGTCTCTCCCATCTCTGTCTCTCACTCTCTCCCCATCTCTGTCTCTCCCTCTCTGTCCCTCTCTCCCCATCTGTCTCTCCCTCTCTCTGTTCCTCTCTCCCCATCTCTATCTCTCCCTCTCTGTCCCTCTCTCCCCATTTCTGTCTCTCCCTCTCTCTCTGTCCCTCTCTCCCCACCTGTCTCTCCCTCTCTCTGTGTTCCTCTCTCCCCATCTCTGTCTCTCCCCATCTCTCCGTTTTTCCATCTGTCTTTCCCTTTTCCCTCCATCTGTCCCTGCCTCTCTCTCTCCTGCTCTGTCTCTGTCTCCATGCTGGGAGGTAGCTGTGCAGAGGCCCATGTGCTGACTTTGGAAGTAGATTCTAGAAGGCCCAGGACCTTGAGGTGACCCCAGTCCCAGCCAGCAGCCAGGCTGCAGCCTCAGGGAAGAGGGGGCACCAGCAGCCCCTCCAGTTCTGGGCTGCAGGACTGTGGAGTGTGGGTATCCACACGTCCAGTGGCTGAGCTGCAGGTGACCCTGTGTGAGTCGTGGAGGAGACAGAGGGCTGGCTCAGAGTTAAGATGACATGGACAGTGGGCAGCAGGCAAGCCAGGTTCACTTCACACATGCCTCACGTCACGCGAAAGCTCACAGGAAATACCCAGTGGGGTGGACGCTGGCAGTTACCAGGTGGGAGTGACGGGAGGAGACCAGGGCAGCTTCACAGGCCTGTGCAGAGCCCTCACCGCCCACCTCCCTCCCGCTGCACGAGATCTGAGATCGGAGCTCATGGCTGGTCCGAAGGCAGGAAGCTCCGGCCCCGCCAGCTTCAGGCAGGGTCCCGACAGGGTGGACCTGGAGGAAGGGGGCATGCACTGGCCCCTACAGGGTGCCTTCTGGGTCTCTCTCATTCTGATGCAAATGTGCCTGCTCTCTGCTATTCCACAGGGGGGCAAGGGAGCTAGCCTCTGGCTCTGCAGGGAGGAGCAGAGGGCGGGACAGAGGGTCTGCCATCTGGCTGTGCCAGCTCCTTTCCTAGGCCCTGTAATTCAAAGCAGTCAGGTCTCCAGGGCGCCAGATTGTGGGTGTGTGTTTTCAACTTCTCACAGCAATAAATAACGCATGAGCTGGCCTTTTTTTTTTTTTTTTTTGGCCATGGTGCAATGCCTTTTCTGTACTCCTGGGATTTGGGGGCACTCATGCATATATGCCCGGTGTGATTTTCAAGCTGCCAGGTCTGTGACTTGAACTGCAGTCCATTTTTAAGGTCCTGCCTTAGGGCCCGGCACTGGCCGGAGAGAGACAGACAGTGAGAGGGAAAGTGAGAAACCATCCCGGCAATGGCCACTGCAGCTGGGGACTCTGAGCACACATGCACGTGCACCTGGCATGAGCTCCTCTCCGGGTCCAGGGCTGGAGCCCAGCCAGCCATTGCAGTCCAGCACCTCCACCACCACGCCACTTGCTGGCCCCAAAACTGACCGTTTTTTACTGTGAAAGTAAAAAAAAAATTTATTATCTGTAAAATAAATTAAAGTACCATTCATACCATATCCACTCCCGGGAGAGCAGTGAGCAGAGCGCTTGGTAGGAGAAACAACTCAAGGTTTAAGATTTGCTCAAGGGGCCAGCAGGTGGCGTGGTGGTTAAGGGTGCTGGACTCCCACGTGGCCAACCACGGTTCAAGTCCTGGACTTGGTTGTTTGCTTTCTCACTTCTCTCTCATTCTGTCCCTCTCTAGTTAAATTTAAAAATAAATATATAAATGGATAAATAAAATTAAATTAAATAATTCTAAAAAAAGATTTGCTCAAAGCTCAGAGAATAACTGGATAAAAAATTTGTGCTCACATTTTCTGACTCGGTCAAAGGTGAAAACAGCTGTATTCACCCCAGGAGTGCTTAGTTTACCCCACGGGGAGGCAGCTCGGTCCCTACGTCCCGGACCTCCCACTGGCACTGGTTCCAGAGCGACACACACCTGACACGCACCACTGCATGGCCTCACCAGTCTGCAGGAGGCCTCCCGGCTGTTCCTG